TGTGCACTTTCAAGATCAGGGAACGTGCAGATACTCCAGTACTTTCAGCCTTTTGTATAGTGCATTTTCACCAATGAAATAAAAGTTGGTTTTGCATCTCATTTGCATAATCGAACAACTTTCTTTGTCTTGTTGTTTGCTTTTCTGATGTTCTTGTTTAATAAAAAAAAATCAAATGCTTCTTTTTCTTATCGCTTCATATTCATTTTGAAATATCCCCTAATTTTTGTGAGCAGTGTATATCAAGTGAAAGATATTAACTCCTCTTTCTCATAGGAAGGTAAAATATGCCTGAATGACTTATTTTAATCATCAAACAAGAAGGTATACAAAATGTAAGCTCTTTTATCTAGACTGGGTGCAGGAGGATGGCTGCAAAGCATTGAGGTTCCAACCCTTGTAAGCATCAGCATCTCCACATGCTGCTTCCAGTGACTGAGAGTAGGGCTAGTTTATTTTCAGTGGTCCCTCTAGCTTGCACTTGTAAGGGTGCTTTCTTGCTCGGCTGGAGGAGCCAGTAGCAGTTCAGAAAAAATTAGATGCATGCATATATGCATCATACAGCCAGGAAAGAAGTTTGCATGCAGCTAGGTTTGAGGCAGAAGGCAGAAAGCTGCTGCAGAAAGCAAAGCAAACACTGAGAGTATCTATGCAACTGTTTGGGTCAGCCCCCTCTATCCACAAGCACATGCATGAGTTGCCATTTTTCTAATTTCTTTGGTTGATGGCAGTTAAACCAGACAAGAAATTATTTCAGGCTTCTATAGCAACAGAATATGTCTATATCATGTGTATGTGATTAATGGTATGTTGGAGACATCATGCAGAAATGCTCAATGAATTTCCTGGCCAGGATCATCACCTCTCAACTTCCACACTTTCTATAATTGATTCCGGTACTAAAGAAGCTCCATGCTGCCAAAAGATGACAACCCATTCCTCTATTGGAAAAGCAATGTTCAACACTATAAAATGCTGCCCATACTCACTCTTGGGTATTTCACCATCCCTCCTTCAAGCATGTCAAGTGAGATTATTTGGCAATCCAGGCCTTCTGTACCATTATCAACATGAGAGATAGAGTGGCAGGATGGCTGACATGCTACTATTTCTCAACCACAACTTAAGGTTTGGCTACTCATGAACTATTGAAACTGTGCTAGCTGTTGCTATTTCCATGCTTCAAAAATCCACATTGAAGAATCTGGCTTCAGTGCAGACAAGACATTTCTTCCCCCCATTGAATCATGTAAAGAATGTGATTTTTTTTTAATCTTTAATGTTATTCCTTTTTTCCCCTCATCCCTAATAGAACTTTGTGGATCTCTTGCTTTTTTAGATATCCACTGGTCTAAAATTGCAATAAACAAGATGGTTCTCAAGATAAAAATCATGGGTTTATGAATGTTTGAATTGGAATCAATTCTTTTGGCTTGATATAGATATAGATTAGTATCAGTTCTCACTATCAACTTTCTTTTTCATATAAAAATTGTGGTATATTTGATACCAACCAGAATTCAATATCATTGCATCTACTATTGCATCCATAAAAGAATGGAACCAAGAGGAATACCACCTTAGAAGATATGTACACAGAGATTCATTGAGTGCTGGTTCTGAAAATACCACTATACTACAAGGGCAATAGACCATATATTGTGCCATCCTTTAAAACAACTTCTCCAGCTAAAACCTCCCTATTCCCCAAAATATAATGATGGAAAATGAAGTGATAGAGGATCCCATATTTATTGGAAATTCACCAAAGTCTAGCAGTAGAATATGTATTTAAATCAAAAAAAAGCATAATGAAACTAGGAAAATATGAATTTTCACAGGATGCCCTAATTGCATGGAAATTAACTACAGATCTATGACTAATTAAATGAATGGAAAGACAGTCCATGAAGGTGCCATGCCAGTTCTTCAGGGATAACACTCATGCAGGTATCAGCATTTTCAGGCATCCATAGATTCCAGACAGCAATTTATAATCAGAAAGCACTAATGATTCTAGTTAGAGGCAGCAACCAGGAGTCTCCTATTCCTAACAGACTCAGATTCAATTAAAAGCAAGACAAAGATTTCCTGCCGAGCCCATGATTTCCTTTTATATACAATTTTTTGCTCTGGCAAAGGAGCAAATATACATTCTTCACAATTCATGGAATAGTAAGAATTAGCCTTTTGCTCAGATTTAAGACTGAGAATTGCTACAGGTAAAAATGATGAAAGTTGGAACAGCTCTTTTATCCAGAGTAATAATCCAGGCACTGTGCAGTATATTGAATCAGGTTAGCAGGAAGAAACCAACAGCACCATGAAAAAAAAGTAACCATTCCCAATTGCACCCTTGTTTGCTGAAACTTAGATACACATACTCATATACTGCATATTATCATTCAGTGTTTTAAATAATATTTACTAAAAACAGAGTTCCAGTGGGACTTGGAAAACTTAAAAACTGGCCATTTGCATTAAGTTACACTTCTGAGTTCTCCAGAAACCAAGCAAATGATGAGACCATTCACCAAGATGGGCTGCTATTTCAAAGAGGATAGGTACCATATCATAATCATGGATACACTTTGCAATACTGCCCAGGTTTTAATGAGGTGCACCTGAGTCCAGCAGGTCTCAGGATAAAGTAAAAAAGAAACATGATCCATCTGTAAAAATAGGAAAGAAGTGCTTCAATCCAAGGACCTTCATTTTAGCACAAGGCAAGTGAATGAAGAGATACCCAAAAAAGCCTATCAGGTTCTAAATGCAAACACCACTATTGCTCACAGATCCAAACAATGGTTTTGATTTCCAACAGCTCTCCAAAAGGCTACTCCTCAGCTCAGTGCATGAAATTTTACAGAGAAAATAAGTTTATTTACTTCCAAGTTGTAGCAAATTCTAGTCAATTTCATATTATGATTTTTAATCTATTTAATTTTCAGGCATGATGACTTTGAAAATGTTTTTCTAAGACTCTGGTCAATGCCAGGTTTGTAGAAGTATCAATACCAAGAGGCACACTTCCCATAGGGAGAAGCTGATTATATCAATATTAGCAGATTAAGAAACCTTCTCCACTTAAGTGGAGCACACTTTTGTTAGATATCCCACACTCAAGTGAGATAAGCATAAAAAAGTCATTTTGTCCAGCAATTGCGAGTCATAAATATTTGTGTGGTCAAGAATCTCTATTCTGAATGCAGTGCTGAACATAGACTTTTTTTTCCAGCAACCTTCCTCCTTAAATGCAAGATTGAGACATTACTGCAATCATCTGGGCAATGTATTGGAGTTCCAGGGTACATGGCACAATGGTGATGTCATTATAATAATTATTTTAATTATGTATGCATCAGCATTCACAAGGCCAAATTGGTGCATATGATAGTCCCTGTCTTATGGCAACTTTGTGTGTGTACCATAACAGCAAAAGTGCATAAGGAAGATGCAAGGCCAAACAAGGAATAGTTTTTGGGGATTAAACTCGCATTAAAGTATTTGCCTTTTCTGATTTCTTTCCTACCAATGGTGCCAATGGTCAGTTCAAAAGGATTGGGCAAAATCATAGTGTGATGAAGGCAGTGTTGAGAGGCACGACTGAATGTCCTGGATTCGGTGGTGTAATGGTAGCACACCTGACCGGCAATCAGGAGGCCCGGGTTCAATTCCCGGTCGTCCCCTGGCTTTCTTTCGTCCTCTCTCGTCCATCCAACCTCCCTACCTTCACTTATTCACGTGACAATAGTAGCTACCAGCAAGATAATACTTGTTTCATCAGATTTAGAGCAAACAATGGCAACAACAATAACTGATGAAATGAATAAGCCTAAAAAAGCCTCCTTGTAATATGATAGAACTAATAGCCTTAAGTTTCAATGCAGATGGAATTTTTTGTACACCTCCTACAATGCACCTCATCATTTCTCACTTCCCTCTAAATCTACTCCTGTTCTTTGTCATGTCACCAAGCTTTCTTCTACCTTGATGGATCCTGGCAATGTTTGACATTACATTTCTTATTTCACTAGTTATATACCTAAACAAAGTGGGGAGAATACTTAAGGGAATATGAATATAAAGGCACTCTTGGGAGCTATTTACTGAGATGTAAAAAGGTTTATGTACTTCCTATGCAAAGTACCTATACTGTTACATCTCCCAAATTTTTCTGAACCATACATAAAGAAACCAACCAATCACCTTACCATTAGCCCCAGGACATTTTTATATTTTTGACAAATTTCAAGCAAAAAACTCTTTCAAAAGTGGAGGCAAAAAAAGTCTCATTATTGACGACTGGAACTGGTATCACTTAGCTTTTTCCTTTAAAAAAAAGTAAGAGAATCATAAATTTCTATCAATAAATAATAAATGTCCCTTACATCAGGCATAACTTTTCTAAGCAATACTATAGCTTTGTGATGAATGCAATGTTTCAGTTCATATTAAGGGTAGTTCTGAGTCCAGCAAGAAAAAAATGAAATGAAAATGAGCAGATGCACAAACCTGTGGATCAACTTCTGAAGGAATGTTCTTTGGCATGTCAGGCTCCACTTCAATACCCTCTGCAAAAGTCCTTTCCATTTCATCTGATTGAGACTGCTCATCCCATTGACCTTCTTCCTGTATAAAGCAAAAATGAAATTTGGAGAATGAAAAACTACTTCTCAAGAGTATCCTTCGTTATATGCACACTACGTGAACACTCCCCCATAAAGAAGACTTTGTCTTGTGTACACTACTCCCCTGAATTCAACATGCGTCGGATAGGCCTACTTATCCCCAATGTTCGATGTCATGTCCGGTTGAGATATCCCGTCATTCGGACATCTCAGAATGCGCGTGGGACACGTCAGAAAAACCGGACTCGAGATCTCGCAATCTTGAGAAGCGGCTCAAAATTGAGATTCTCGTGGACGGCAACACTCAACCAACTGAACCTCGCTAACCGTCATGCGGAGGGAGAATCACCGCTTCGAGCTGCTTCTCTTGAGCGATATATCCCAAGTCCGCTTTTCCTGACGCGGCTCCCACATGCACCCTGGGATAAACTCAATGATGTCCAGGATAACCGGCAGAAAACCAATCAGCAGGTGATGGTGCGCCGCTGCTCTCCAAGGCTTCGGCGGAAGCCCTGGGCCTGCCTGAACGGCGACTGCTTTACCATGGCGTGCACGGTAGAGATAATGTCTGTGTGAAAGAGCTTCTATTCCATCGACCTGCCTACAAAGAACTTGAAGTTCCAACAATGATGGGTGCGCCGCGTCGTACGTGTAGCTCAATGAGCGTGTAATGAACAGGGCACAACACTTGTGTACAGTGTACACAAGACGAAGTTGGTGTTCACAAAACGAAGGATCCCCTTCTCGGGTCTATTAATTCTCGCAGAAATACCATCAATGCAGTAGATGCTGGAGTTGGATTCATCACATCAAGACCAATATTCGCCTCCTCCTCTCCTGTCTCTTCCTTGACCATCACTTCATCCGTTGATGTGCTCATAATTGCTTCAGGAAAAGTCTGGAGACTTTGAGATCTGGGTTGCACCTGCGATGGAAAGTAAAAAATTAACAATCTGCAACTTCAAGGGCCTTTTATTTATATTAGAGGCCTCACAGCCAGGTCCATAGACATACCGATAGAGTCTCTTTGTGCTGAGAATTTGATCCTGTGAATTGGGATCTAAGCCGGGGCATAGAAGTATAAGATCGAGGCAGTTTGGCAGGAGAAGGCTGTGAATCACCAAGTCCTGACCATGCCTGGACAGCACTCTTCCTCTTATGGTCCAAAGCATCTTGAACATCAGACACAGGGATGGTGGTTCCACTAATACTATGTGATCCACTACTTTTAGACTTATCTCCTTTTAGTCCCTTCACTTCCAGGTTTTCAGCAACTTCAATGAATTTCTCAAGATCTACAGCTGGGACTTCAACTTCTCCACAGTACATGAATTCCACCAGAAGCTTGAGCAAATGCATTTCCACACCATAGAAATGAATTGTGGGTGTGCCTGATCCATCCTTGTTAAGGACTCGTTCAAAATATCCACTTCCTGCACACAACACCAATTTGTGGGCTTTCAAAAACTGCCCATTACAGGACAGAGTCACATCCACGAACATCTCCCTATGGCGGAGATTCTCAAAACTTTGAAATGTTTCTGCATGATGGGAGTTCCACTTCAAATTGTATTTGTTTGACATGGCTTCTGTCCACACCTTCTGAAACACAAACCTACACAAGAGGTATTGTCTGAGTGACAGAACATTGCAATTAACAAATTAAGCCTACTAATAAACAAAACGTGATAAGGGTGATGACCCTTGGAGCTTACATGGTATCCTTACAATGTGAACACTGTGCATAACAGCATACATTCCCCACATAAGCTGGCTATGTTATGAGCCCACCTGGCCATCAGGCATGGCTCATGAATGTATAAGCCAAGTGTGCAAATGGTGTGGGAAGGGAGTTTCAGCAGGGGAAATATGCAGAGAACATGAATTAGTGAAGGGCAGAAACTAAATAGAAAAAAAAAAACAAGCCCCACCCTCTCCCATGTGTGCATGACATCGCACCTGCAAGCAGCACATTTGAGCTTATGGGTGACCCAATTGCCCTCTGAAAACTTCCATTAAAGTTTTATGCGACAATTCTTGGATATGAAAACATTTACATCTCCATCCATTACATGGTGTAAAATGCAACAGACTAAAAATGCAGGGCCATATCTCCCTTGCACATGATGGGGCCACACTGATAACTGTGATAGCAATCCATCACTTTCTTGATTAGCTGGCAGCAGTAATGATATGACTAGGGCTAAGGCTTGCCACAAAGTAGGCCCAGCTTGTAGGCTAGACATAGGTTTTCTTCCGTAAAGTACATACACACACAAGGGAATGTGGAACATTACCTAGCCTGGGTCCAGAAAGCGAGTATATGACGTAGATGTGGCTTACTGCCCATTAATGGTCGATTGACAACACCGCACACCTAAGTTAGGCCTACCATTTCCTAATCGGCTCCTAGCTTAAGACAGGCCATTAGAAGAAAAGCGGCACGTTCAAGGCGTACATGTACTGCTAACGTACTAATGACGAAATACTGAGGAGTAGCCTCTCAGGAAAAAAAAAAAACCGTCAAGGCCTTATATTCACTGGCTCGGCCGGCGGACCTCGTCGAGTCACAATCACTACCAGCCCATCATGGTGGCAGACATGCTACACAGAAGAGAGGAGAGGAACAGGCAGGAGCAGCTGCCAGAGCAGGAAACAAGGATCACAGCCATGTCGTCAGATGTTGCACTCCGCAGTCAAAGGGGAAACATGGGAGCGAGACAGCATGGGGAATGACGAATGACTACACCTACTACCGTTAGAAAAACAACAAAGAGATAACCAGCCGCCATGAGGGGACTTCCTGGCATAGTCTGGCGAATTTGCAATAGCTTGAGCCAGAAGGTTCTGCGCTCTACTTAATGTGGTTTCTTGCTAATGCGGGCAGGGGCGGATACAGAAATTTTTCATAGGGGGGGCGGTTCCCAAATTTCTACATACCCCCCCCCTCGCCTACCACCATTCCTCGTCCTTTCGCCTTTTTTATGTTTCGTCTGGGGGAAGAACTTGAGAAAAAAAAAATATTTCATTGGCTCAAATAAAATTTACTGCAGATGCTATTTTGAATAAATGAATCAAATGCTAACCTGGCCATAGGGGGGGGCGGTCGCCCCCCCCCCCC